GGTATTAACTGGAAGACAACAATGGTGTTCATTCTTTATTATATAAAACCTATTCTATACAGTGGAGAAATGGAAATCATAGGAAGGCATTTTTGATAGTGTCAGACTTGTGAAGATAAATGTTGATACAAGGGGGAGGAGGTATACCATGAGATAGTGACCAGAGACTAAGGAGTAAGCTTCTCATTAATCAAAAACAGAAATAAGGCCCTGGCCAGGTTGGTTAGAGCATCGTCTCAATATGCCAAGGTTGTGGGTTTGAACCCTGGTCAAGGCACTTGTAAAAATCAACCAATATATACATAAATAAGTAGAAAAACAAATCTCTGTGTGTGTGTCTCTCTCCCATCCTCTCTCTCTAAAATCAATAAACTTAAAAAATAGAAATAATAAAAATGAGAACATATCAGAACTCAAAATTATCTGAACTTAGAAAATAAAAAATAAAAACTGGAAAAAGGAAGATTAAGAAGTATAAATTTTCAGTTATAAAATATCACAGGGATGTAATTTATGGCATAAAGAATATAGCTAATAAGAGCATAATAACTATGTATGGTCACAGATGATTACTACACTTATTGTGGTGATCACTTCATAAGGTATATAAATAGTGAATCACCTGAAACTAATATTGTATGTCAATTATAATCAAAAATAAATTTAAAAAAACCCCAAAAAATAATAAACAAAAATAAGTTAGAAAGAAGTGAATGCTCGCTATGAGTCTGTTTTGCTTGTTAGTTCATTTTGTTCATTACATTCTGCACATGAATTAAATCATATGGCATTTGTCTTTCTTCTGACTGGCTTCTTTCAGAGAGCAGGCTGACAGCTGTGGGGTGGGGGGAGTGAGTGGAGGGTTGGAGGTATTGAGCAAAAAAGAAAAGAAGAGAAAAAACTCATGGCCACTGACAACAATGTGGTGATTGTGGGGGTGAAGGGGACAGGAGATGGGGGAGGTGGAGGAGGGTATGGGGGGATAAATTGTGATGGACTGGACAGAGACTTGACTTGAGGTGGTGAACACACGGTACAGTATACAGATGATGTGTAATAGAACTGTGCACCTGAAACCTCTATAGTTTTGTTAACCAGTGTCACCCCAATAAATTCAATAAAAAATAAAAATAAATAAAAAGTTAAAAAACCCCACATAAATGAGGTGAAGGCAAGTATATGATCACTTTAGTGTTCCACTCATAATCTAAATTGGAAAACATTATAAATTATAAACACATGCACCCATTTTTCTTTGAAATTTATCACTCAGCCAAAAAGATCATATTGCGTATCTTACTTGAATGAGAGAATGATGACCTCGTGTTGTTCAGAATAGTACATAGGAAAATAGATTTTCAGGACATCGTTCTTTTCATCAGATACCAGGGAATTAAAAACAAACAAACAAACAAAACCAACCTCAAATTCATTGAAAAGTATTGGAAAGGACTGACTCAAGATACTCTTAGCCTAAAATAGCCTATCTATTATTCTTTGTAAAACTTGTACATTTTCTTTGATCTTCAACTGAATTCAGCCATTCTAAATTCTTGGTAGGTGCAGAGTCTAACTATTCCACTAGGGAAATGTTCATTTTCTCCTGACACACTGACAACTACTGTAAAGCACAAACTAACAGCAGTAGTAATTTAGTAATAAACTTAAAATACTATAGGCATTAGGAAAAAAATTGCATTTTAGTTTCTTATTCAAACTTGCAGTCACCCCCACCCCCATTACACTCAACAACTATTTAAATTAATGACAAATTTAACTGGCTGACCAATGCATAAAAAACACATATATCTTTCTTGATAAAAGTTTTACCAAAACCCTTTGTGGAACCTGAAAACTGAACACCATTCCTTTAATAATAAAATTGTACATTTTGTTTTAGTAGCATGAATCCACTTAGAATTTTGTGAACTTTTTTGCCCCTTTTCAAGAAATCTTTGTAGAATTATGGTTCTCCATTTGAGGAATGATCATCTTGATCCATTTGACATTGTTTAGGAGCTCACGTCTTATGTCTACCCTTGGTTATGAAAATAAGATAAATTTATAGGAATCACACATTGAAAGTGAAGAAATCCACAGAATTCTGTGGGCCTTTAATTAATGATTCATCCAACTACATTTTCCCTTTAGTTAACATTTGCGGAAAGTATGAACTGAGGGTTCTTATGCTCGCTCTCTCATGCAGTTCATTGAAAGAACATAATTACACTGTTCAGTGTGGCTGGAGACCTTACAGGTTGGTGTCACATGCACATCAAATATGCAGGAATATGTTTCCGCACTATAGAACCGTCTAAAAGGGTACAGCATGGTCACAGCAGGACTCACCCACCAGGAGGCGGTGTGCTTGGTAAGTATCAGGATTATTGCTTTTTTTTAAAGAAGAGAATAACGTCCAGGAAGCTTTTAGCTTACAGAAGTCAAACTATATTTAATTGTGAATTCTCTTCTCTCTCTCACATGAAGGTTGAATTCAATCTAAAATATTTAAATTTCATCAATAATCCAAATACTACATACTGTAACAAATATTTAGACCTGAATTTGAGTTTAATGTTTTTATTTCTTCTATATCCTTCTAAATTGTTTCTTAGTTTTGCTTATAATCTTGGAGAAGTTTTCCCTGATCCCACATATACAGTATTGTTTATGCACATGCTTCCTGGTTGAACCTTGTGTTAGAATTCATGGGAACTTAAAATAATTCAGTAACAGTCAAAGGTGAACGTTAAGACATTAGTATGACATCTATGATATTTGAAGGTATATGTGATTATGTAAACATTTTGAGAGAAATGAAGATTTATAATTTACATGGTAGGAAGCATTAGTTAGATAATGACTATGACAATGAGATTAACAATTGTACCTTTAATAGTTACTAATAATCTAGTTTTGATGACAACAGTGCTACAATCTCTCTCTTTATTTTCACTTTTTTTTTTTTTTTAACATGAAGCAAAGGACATCTTTCTAATGTTTATGAAATCACTTATGGCTATTTGTACTCTTTTGGATTTCTGGGAGATTCATTTATAATTGAATATGGAACCTGTGAAGTGTTGACATGTATTAACAGATCGCACAATTTCCAAAACCAGCACAGTAGTTTTGAAGTCACATTAAGAAACAGTTCATTTAAGAACTTAACCAGATTGCCAGGATAATAAAACCCAAAGACCATTAAAAGAGAGACAACATGATCAAAAGATGATAGCCCCAATCAAAAGAAACAATAAGTGAAATAAGCCAGTCAGAGAAAGACAAGGACCATATGATTTCACTCATATGTGGAAAGTAATGAACAAACTGATCTACTAAGCAAAACAGAGACAGACACAGATAGAGGGCAGGCAGACAGCTCTGGTGGGGACGGGGGATA